GACATTTGGTGGATATCAAATGATATCAACAGCTAGGGCTTTTGCCAAAAGAAAGCTGAGACAGATCACGCTAAGTGATGAGACGAGCGGACTGTCCTCAGGTGCTTGCAACATCATGAATGGTGCGAGCCAGGCGGACGGTACTCTACTTGGGCGTCAGGTAAGCGCTCCCGTATGACTGCGGACACTCATTCAGACTGCTCCGATTGATGTGCTCGGGTCGTCGCAATCATGCAATATTCTTTTTTTACCAATTGTCACTGGGGGGTGCCAGCCATTATGGACCCCCCTTACCGCCAGCTGCGGTGACGGATGGGCTTGGGGGATCTCGATTTGGCAATCCCTCCCAACAACGACAGAAGCGGATCCTTCTCGTGTTGAGCGGATCATGCTTGGAAGCAGGTCAGGTCTGTCCAATGTTCTTCGCCGGTCAGCCCGTTTACGACTTTGACAAGCGGCGGTCATAGAAACCGCAGGACTTGGCACGCAGGTTTTCTGCTTGGACTCCCCCAACGTGTTCTCGGTGAAGTCAGCGTTTGGAGTGACACGCGCCGGTCCATGGTCCAATGGATTGGACCAAATCATACAACATCTACCAGCACCTTCCAACAGGTCTCCTCTGGAGGCTTTGGTAGACTTAAAAGGCGCAGGTGGTGACCTGTTGGAAGGTGCTGGTACGGCTTTGGGTTTGGGTCGCCCTGGGTTGGTTCAGACTGGAACCGAACCGATCCCCAAGACCTTCCTGGGTTGCCAGATTGTCCATCACTCATATGTGGTCATTGCTGCATCTCAAGCTATCCAATCAGAGAAATTCCGGAGACTGCAACTAGGCACGAGATGGCAGAGGCACTAGTCACTAGTATATAATTAGAACCTGAGTCACCACTGTTTTGGAGTGGTCTTTTCCTATCAAAACAGAGGTCCTATGGGTTCTAATTCTAGATTTTTTCTATTCACGACACCACCAGTGGTTTGCATGTGGGATTTCAACAGGCCAGAGGTCCGCGGGGGATCCCAACGGTTCGGACTTGGCTTCTCGACCCCGAACTCGACCCCGAACGCATCGCCTACCTGGCGAGGTGGCGGCGATGGTGGGCTGGGCTCCTGGCTTCACTGGGCTCTTCTTGCTGGAAGCCTCACCGGGCTGCTGGTGGCCATCACTCATGCTGCTCTGTCTGCGGTGAGGTGGAAGGTTTCCCGAGTTCGGGGGTGAAGCCCTTTCTGGGGAGGAGGTTTTGTTATGGTGTTTGATTCTGGGTCAGTCCTGACGCCACTGGTCGCGAAGGATGGGGAGGTGGATTCCTGGATTTCCAGCCTTGGCACTTGGCACGGACGCGATGCGTAGGATCTCCATGACCGAGATTTTCCCAATCAACGCGCAGAGGTTGCCGAGCTTAGTTCGGTTCCATCACTGCGTTCTGAACGGTGCTGCGATGAACTGTCCCACTACTTGGGCAGTACTTGGGGAGGGACGTGCACATTCCTCCCCCACAACTGTTGGTTTGCGTCTTTCAAGTGCCGGACGTCGTCGCTCCGTTTCCCCCCTCGCTGTTTGCAAGACGAGACCCCCGATTCTGAGTGGAAGAAGGAAACAAAGGACACAAAGGTCGCGGCCAAGTTGGCCCGGTTCAGGGGCTCACCAGCTGCATGACCTGGTGCGTTTGACTTCAAACCAGCTCGTTGCTCGGAAAAAGAAACCATTCGACATCGACAGACACTTAGCTGACTTAGCTCGTTCCATGCTGTGCTGAGGTTGCTTTTGATCCTCTTTTCCACGCTAATGCCGTCCGGCTGTGCTGGGGAGTCGAAGGTTGAGCGCCGCGAGCTGCCGGGGGAGAGCGCCAGGGGTCGGGCCATGCGACTCCGTCTCACTCGAGCCACTCATGTTGACTATTCATTAAATCACGAAAGGTAGCTTGAGCTACCTGAGTTCTCCTTGCTTTAGCAAAAATGTATTACAATCAGGAGTTGGGATTGTGCATTGAGTTTGGTCTTGTAAGAGATGATTCCTAGCACTTCCAATGGGTGCCCAGTCCGTAAGGTAGGCCTGATTCCGTAAGGTAGGGTAGTCTAGCCAGGACACCCAGACAGGATGACCCTGGTACCTGGATGCGGACAAACATCTACATTTACATATGGCTACTTTACATGGAGGTTTTTCGTCATGCAGGCACATATGGAGGCCACATATGAGTAACACCTATGGACTTTTTCGTCATTCGTCAGTCTACTTTAGAGGCTAACATTGCTGGCACGACCAGAAACGGGTCCCCCTTGGATGATGGCTACGGTACGCATTCTTTTACTTGCAACACCACCGGTGGGTGTTATTTACTAGGCCAAGGGATCGATCAATTGGAAGAGTCCGGGCTTGGACATGGAGGGCTTGGACAGTTTGGGAAGTGGGGCTGGAGGCTCTTGCACCAACTCTCATCTTGCACCATCGATTCTTGAACAACCTTCGCCGCTGGAGGACGAGTAGCCGTTAGTAACTAGCCGTACACCGTGGAAACACGGAGGGCCATGTTCGTGGGAAAAGTGTCCCGCGACTAGGCTGGCGCGAACTCGAGGACCCCCCAACAAATCCCATGGGGATTCCTTGTTGCGGTGACCTGGGACACCTGCTCGATCTTCCGCCTAGGTCGATCCTCGGGCTGCTCTACACGGACAACTTTCTCGAGGACTTACATTGCATGATTGCAGCCTGACGGCCCGGCAAAGACCGCCGGCCACGCATCGGTCGGAGCGGCACGGAGCGATGAAGTCGAAGGTACAAGTGGCCCCAGAAGGTCTTCCCAGAACCAGAACAGTTTGGTTGCAAACACTTGGGGAGATGTCAATTCCAAACGATTTCTTGTTCCAGCCGCATTTTGCGATTTCAAGACACACACACACACACACCCAGAATACCGAAAGGGTTGCAAAAGACCCGTGGCACTATCTACTTTTCAAAAGTTCTCATGACACACACACATAGGCATATACGCAGTTATATACATTTATCTAATGTATACATAGTTAGTACATAATGTACTGTTTAGAATGTTGCTTGCACATGACATGTTTCATAGACAGAGTAGTACACATACTGATCCCCACTACTACTCGACCGATGTGCCGAACAGGCCCGTTTGAAGGTGTTCATGTTGGAACACCAACGTTATGTGATAGAGGGCAAACGTCATTTGTGGCGAAAGGCTGTTCCAACGTGGCAGGTTCAGAACCTGCGATTTCCATGAGGCGCCCCTACAAGAAGCTTCTCTCCAATCAAGCAGCCACCAGTCACTGAAGAGGCCACCAGTCAAGCCACGAAGGGCCGACCATGGCACCGACCTTTCTTCTACCTTCCAGCAGCATATGTTCCTGATGCTTTTCTGTCCGCTCAAAAGGCGCCCCAAAACCGAGCTCCACCCTTTTGCGGCCCCCTTTTGCGGCCCCCTTTTGCCCGGGACGTTGGCCATCCTTGCAAAGGCGAGGCCCAAACCGATTGTTCTCTTTGAACGGTCGGTCGACGGCGCCCAAGCGGCCCAAAAGGGGCGGCAGTGGCTGGCTCCGTGGCTGGCGCCAGAGCCGGGTGTAGGATGGTACACTGGTACACTCCACCAGGACGGCTTTTTGGGGGTTCCCTTTTTCCCCAAACAGTGTGGACACACTAAGGGGTTCTTACGGTAGGAGTAAAGCAGGTGTGCTTAGATCGCTGTTCCGCGCGGGCGTGTGCGGCTAATTCGCTGCTATTTATAGTACATTCATGCCTCTCGACATCATCAATGTGTATTTCGACTGCGCAGGCTCGCAAAATCTGGGGGCCCGCGGCGGGTGCTTCTAGCAACTGCGCTCTCGTTGTGGTGCCGCGCGCATTTTCGTACATGGTGGTCACTTTTCGTGGCAGGCGCAGGGGAAACCTCGTGTTTAGGTGCTCCAAAGTCGACTTTTCGTGACAGGTGCAAGGGATCGGAGGTGTTTTACTTCGAGCTGCAGTTTTCCTGGCAGGTGCAGCACTTTGGACATGGTGGTGATCGTCGAGCAGCTCAGATTTCGTGACAGGTGCAGTGAGTCGTGACTTTTGGACATGTGGCTCGTTTGCAGACTTCGTCACCGCCACCGTCGCCACGATCCCCACCTTCATCAGCACCATCACCTCTCTGGACCCCAATGGGCTTAGATCTGTAGACTTCCTGCTCATAGACATCACACACACTGTTTGGGGTCTCTTGCTGGGATAACTTGGATTCGAAGAGTGCGACGCGGCCGCCCTGCACCCTGGACCTCCGCCGACCTGCTACTCTCGCCCAGATGTGCCCGGCACAGGGCGGACAAAGCGCTTCGTGATCGGCTTAAACCTTTCGGCTCCCGAAGCAGGCGGTTTTCTGTGTCACACTGCCATTGAGCGCAGCATGCCCTTTCGAAGGTCGCTCTTGCCCCAAGGGATCCGACTTTTCAAAGCATCAAGGCAGACTAATTAGTCTTTCTTGGAAGGTTCATTTACAGCCCGTTTTGGGCTCCTGCTGGCTCAAATGGCCAATGACCATTCTATTGGCCAAAACCTGACGTAATATACATGACCATTTGGGAATTGAGCCAAGAGTCTTCAGGGGGATGACATGGTATATAGTATAATATATACCAGGAGACCCTATGGGGTGCCAAGTGGTGATGAGGGGTGACACCCCTTCGGGGTCTCCTGGTATAGTAGGTTTGACCTCACACTCAGATTGATGAAGTCTTACAATTCGGGGACTCGACGTCCCGAGAGTTCCCCGAACCGCTGAGCCATCATCCCCATGCAGTGTGCCGCCCATCCTGTTGTTTCCAGTTTTCTTGAGCAAGGGGCAAGTGCTGAGAGACACTTGAGTGAAATACGATCCAATACGACCAAGAGTCACTAAAAAGAATCCAAGAGTCCAAGCAGGCCAACGCTTCCAAGACCTCCAGAACTGGATTGCAGATATGAAACACGGGATCTCAACCTCTCGCACCGTCCTTCCCTTTCTTCCACCGAGGTGGGCTTCGCCGTGGCCAAGCACAAGGACCAAGTCCCCGAGACGCTCCTCGAGGTGCGGTTTTTTCCGGTCGCACTGGTCGGTCGACCCGGGCGCCGTGCTGCGGCGTCGAGAACTTGCTGCATTGCAACAATGGGGGCATCATCTCAAGCCAATTGGCTATGGCTGTGCCCCTCTGTAACAGTCCAAAGACACTATTTCTACTCACTTCCCAGCAAAAAGATCACTGTTGAACACCAGCCTGATGTTTGTACTGGGCTGCTGCTGCTGCTGCTGCTTTCAAAGTAGGCTCGCCAACACAGCCCAGTTGGAGGTTGTTTTCCTGCGTGATGATCAGATTGCTTTTTCTGTTATCAATCCATCCACCCATCATTCAGTCATCCACCAGAAAACAGAAGATTTGTAGATTGCTGGTGATTTTGGGAGATATGTAGATTGCTTCGAACTTTTGAGCAGTATTATTAGACATGTCCCGAGTGGTGGACTGTTTGCCCAGCCACCATCGTTGAAACCAGCGGATGCCAGTGGTGGACTATTAGTCAGACTGAAAGAGCTCATGCTTCAGGTCGTGAAAAAACAAAACATGACGAACTCTGAAGAACTCTGTTTTTGAAGGACTTCTTTTTGAGCGTTTGTTCTGATCCCTTGATGGTACCGGTACCTCCCGTTCGCCAAGAACGCTCCCCAGGTGGAGGCCACCGCGGCGCCAGGTCCGGGACCCAGAGCGATGGTCGTGTGACCTTCGTAAAGCAAGGGGTGGTGAGACGTAAGCGCTACACATGGTGGGAAGCCTAGGGCTTTGGTGTTTGCTTCACAGATGTGAGGCACCCAAAAAGGCACCCAAAAAGGCACTCGTAAGGACCTCGAAGCAGGGAGATTTGGCAACGTGAATGATCATTTCCTGCAGAGGTGAACCACCCGCGCGCTGGTTGATGGTTCTCAGGGGGTCACCATGAATGGTGGGGCTCCAGGACCTCTCATTTGCGAACCCTGACATGTCGACTGTGCTGTAACCGCACCCAGCTCTTCGCACCGCAAAAACACAGACAGACATTCGAGATCAAGTACCCTCTGACTCACTCACATGGAAGGTGATGGTACCACCTGTATGGTGTTCGAGTTCATAGTCATCCAACCGGCCATGCCATCTACCTACATGTGACGTGTTCGTCGGAGTGTGTGTATGGTGTGACTTTCCAAGCTCTGAGTAACCGAAAGGCCTAACGAACGACGGCTACATAATGCAACGCAGACGACTTCTGATTCCAAAGTGCGCACACACACAGACATGCACAGAGAGCACACAGCCCCCACCTGCCACACGTGTGATTTGGTGGAAAAGACAGACCCAGTTCGAAATGGTGCGGTGTGGAATTATGTGGGATGTAGAAAGAGAGATGCCCTCCAACCAATGGGTTTCTTGTCAATCTCTCTCTTTTTATGTATACGTATATACACAGTATATGTTTGTTTATTCACACACACACACTATTATTGTAATATAATTATCATTATATATATTCTTATCAAAGGAAGTTTAGTGTACGAAACTTCCGTGTTACGGACGTTCAAGAACCAATCATACACCACTCATCATACACCACTCATCAATGCACAACTCATCATACACCACTCATCATACACCACTCATCATACACCACTCATCAATACACCACTCATCAATACACCACTCATCATACACCACTCATCATACACCACTCATCATACACCACTCATCAATACACCACTCATCATACACCACTCATCATACACCACTCATCATGCACCATTCATCATGCACTACTCACTACTCGTCATCCAGTTTACTCTAGCTCCAGTTAGCTCTAGTGTCAATAGCTTTAGCTCCAGTTAGCTTTCAATAGCCCTAGCTCCAGTTAGCTGTAGTTTCAATAGCTCTAGCTCCATGTGCAGATTTCGTGGCAGGCACAGCACTTTGTGAACCTCGAGGTGCAGATTTCGCGGCAGGCGCAGCACTTTGTGAAGCTCCATGTGCTGATTTCGTGGCAGGCACAGCACTTTGTGAACCTCCATGTGCAGATTTCGTGGCAGGCGCAATACAAAATGCGTTTTCGAGAGATAGCGGATGCACGAAATGCTGCATTTTGCAATAGAACCGGTGGCTTCGAACCTGGCAAGTCTAGCTCTGCGGAACGACGGTTGCGAGACGGTCTCGGGTCATTCTCGGGTCATGTCGGGTCATGGTCGGGTCATGCTCGAATCGTCCCTCCATTGTGGTTAGAGTTTTCATCACTTGTTTCTTGAAGTGCAGATTTCGTGGCAGGCACAGCACTTTGTGAACCTCCATGTGCAGATTTCGTGGCAGGTGCAGCGCTTTGTGAACTTCAAGGTGCAGATGTCGTGGCAGGCGCAGCGCTTCGTGAACCTCCATGTGCAGATTTCGTGGCAGGCACAGCCCTTTGTGAACCTCGAGGTGCAGATTTCGCGGCAGGCGCAGCACTTTGTGAAGCTCCAAGTGCAGATTTCGTGGCATGCACAGCGCTTTGTGAACCTCCATGTGCAGATTTCGTGGCAGGCACAATACAAAATGCGTTTTCGAGAGATAGCGGATGCACGAAATGCTGCATTTGCAATAGAACCGGTGGCTTCGAACCTGGCAAGTCTAGCTCTGCGGAACGACGGTTGCGAGACGTCTTGGGTCATTGTCGGGTCATGGTCGGGTCATGCTCGAATCGTCCCTCCATTGTGGTTAGAGTTTTCACTTGTTTCTTGGTGCAGATGTCGTGGCAGGTGCAGCACTTTGTGAACTTCCATGTGCAGATTTCGTGGCAGGTGCAGCACTTTGTGAACTTCGAGGTGCAGATGTCGTGGCAGGCGCAGCACTTTGTGAACCTCCATGTGCAGATTTCGTAGCAGGCACAGCACTTTGTGAACCTCGAGGTGCAGATTTCGTGGCAGGCGAAATACAAAATGCGTTTTCGAGAGAGAGCGGCTGCGCGAAATGCTGTATTTTGCAATAGAACCGGTGGCTTCGAACCTGGCAAGTCTAGCTCTGCGGAACGACGGTTGCGAGACGGTCTCGGGTCATTCTCGGGTCATGGTCGGGTCATGCTTCAATCGTCCCTCCATTGTGGTTAGAGTTTTCACTTGTTTCTTGGTGCAGATTTCGTGGCAGGCACAGCACTTTGTGAACCTCCATGTGCAGATTTCGTGGCAGGTGCAGCGCTTTGTGAACTTCGAGGTGCAGATGTCGTGGCAGGCGCAGCACTTTGTGAACCTCCATGTGCAGATTTCGTGGCAGGCACAGCGCTTTGTGAACCTCGAGGTGCAGATTTCGCGGCAGGCGCAGCGCTTTGTGCAGCTCCATGTGCAGATCTCGTGGCAGGCCCAGCACTTTGTGAACCTCCATGTGCAGATTTCGTGGCAGGCGCAGCACTTTGTGAACCTCCACGTGCAGATTTCGTGGCAGGCGCAGCACTTTGTGAACCTCCATGTGCAGATTTCGTGGCAGGCACAGCACTTTGTGAACCTCGAGGTGCAGATGTCGTGGCAGGCGCAGCACTTTGTGAAGCTCCAAGTGCAGATTTCGTGGCAGGCGCAGCGCTTTGTGAACCTCCATGTGCAGATTTCGTGGCAGGCACAGCGCTTTGTGAACCTCGAGGTGCAGATGTCGTGGCAGGCGCAGCACGTTGTGGAGCTCTATGTGCAGATTTCGTGGCAGGCACAGCACTTTGTGAACCTCCATGTGCAGATTTCGTGGCAGGCACAGCACTGTGTGAACCTCCACGTGCAGATTTCGTGGCAGGCAGGCACACCACTGTGTGAACCTCCATGTGCAGATTTCGTGGCAGGCACAGCACTTTGTGAACCTCGAGGTGCAGATTTCGTGGCAGGCGCAGCACTTTGTGAACCTCCATGTGCAGATTTCGTGGCAGGCGCAGCGCTTTGTGAACCTCCATGTGCAGATTTCGTGGCAGGCACAGCGCTTTGTGAATTTCCATGTGCAGATTTCGTGCCAGGCACAGCGCTTTGTGAACCTCCATGTGCAGATTTCGTGGCAGGCACAGCACTTTGCAGATTTCGTGGCAGGCACGATGCAAAATGCATTTGTAGTACAACTTTAGTACGCGGAGTATCTGGGGAGCTGGAAGCTGAGAACTGGCGACTTTGGAGTACAACGCGGAGTATCTGCAGAGCTGGAAGATGAGAACTAACTGGCGACTTTGTAGTGCAACTTTAGTACGCGGAGCAATCTGTGGAGCTGGAAGCTGAGAACTG